AAAGCATACATTCACTCTCACCCTCAGAGCAGCCATCACACCCCAATTGCTCAAGTGTGGTGCCTTCCCAGGGTTGGAAGGCAAACTTTTCCTTCAAAGACATCGTGTTCCTCTCCCAATTACAGCAGAAAGCCATCATCGGATGACATTCCAAGAGGCACCTGCATTCGTCATCAAGTTTCTTAAAACTGAACTGAAATCACAACAGGTAAGCTTGAGGGTAGACACGGGGAAGGTCTTCCTAAGAAGACAGAAAGTTTGAGATTCCCCAGGGGTGAGGCTGGGCTTCTCCCTACCGACTGCAATAGGAGACCCATTTCTGCAGCCTGGACCAGGAGGCAGCACCATCAAGGTAGATGGAAGGACAGAATGACCTGCTGAGGCATGTCCCCCGCACACTCCCAACCAGCAGACAGGAAATTGCTGGCCTGAAATGATCAGGGTCAAGTTGCTTCAATTAATGAAAATGGCAATGGCAGGCCGACTTGGCACAGGCCACCATGGAGGGCTGTTCTGGGCTCTTGCCACCCTCCCTGCAAGCCAGGCTCAGAGACTGACATCAGGCTGAGGGCCTTAAGCAGGAGGTAGGGGCAGGAGAACTGGCAAGAAGATGTGCAGGAAAAGTCAATTGCAGTGATCTTGTTTGTTTTGGTTTTGACAGAACAAGGGCCAAAACAAGGAGAGAGAGAAAAAGGGAGAGAAAGTTTCCTCAAATATATTATAATTCAACCTTGACTGGTAAGCTTGGGCTGGGGCCAGACTGGTATTAAGACCTTGGAAGAAGAAAGCAATTCAGCTTCTCCCAAAGCAATTTATTTCTGTATCACCTGATGGTCAAATCTGGGAAGTTTATCCATATGTCTAACCTTAATGCTTCATGCACCAATTAAAATTATTTCCTTCTTCGGGGCATTAGGAAAAAATAGAAAACAGCTGGCCTACATCCTCCTAAAACGAATGTTTGGAGAATTGTGACACAGTCTGGGCTGGGCCAGAAGCTCTAGTCCCTCCCTCCATTCCATGCATCTTCTCTGCCCAGGATGCCTAGGCTGGGTTTCTGTTCTTTTTTGCTCCAGCACCTGGACCTCCCCAACACACCTGCTGCAGGTTTGCCATCCCAGAAGTTCCCAGAGCAAGAGATCAAAAAGAAAGCCCTATTTTCCATCTTTTATAGAGCCAGGCCCAACTCTTGGTTCTGGTCAATTCCTAGCCCCTGAGCCCATCCCCTCATCCTTGCAGCTGGGGCTGAGAAATTCTTGGGGAGATCTGACACAGTGGTCTCCTTTTTAGAACATCCATTCCGTGGAGGTGACAAGGTTGAGCAAATGATGAGAGAACTCTCCAATCAGCGCCCTCTCTCACTGGCACACAGCATCCTACCCACGCTCTGAGAGCTAATCCCTTCCTCAGTCAGTGTGCCTGGAGCGCTGTGTTTAGAACTTGTTCACAACACGTTTTCCATTTGATTCATACTATAATTATATGCTTGTATCTCCCAGCACCAGACAGTGAGCAATGTGAGGGCAAAGAGCCATCTAATTCACCTCTGTCACTGCCCACAGTGCCTAGCGTGGGGACTGGCACACAGTGGACATCAATAAATGTTTGTCAGAATGAGAAAGGGAAGTGAGGGGCCACACAGTGGTTAAACTCAAGACTCAGTCTTCCTTTACGCCATCCTGCTTCCGTAAGGGAAAAAAAGAGGAAGTCTCTTTCCTCCCCAACACACTGCATCCTGCAGAGTCTCTGAGGCACCCCCACCCCAAGCACAGCTTGGTTTCCATCAAGTTGAGTGTGTATAATTGCATGTGTACACGTCGGGGTGGGATTTGGATGACCCCAGCACTCCCCTAAACGAGAATTTGCATCACCTTCACTGGGCAAAAAACAACCAGCTCTGGGGACACTCATGTTACTGGATGGGCACCCTGGGGTAGAAATCCCAAACCAGATGCGTGCATGACATGCACATTCATCCTGAACACCTACTTCATGCCAGGTTTGGGGTTACATATGGGGAAAGGAACATAAGAGGCCCTCTCCTTGCCTTCAGGGCAGCCAGTGCAATCCTGTCTTTACCTTGGCTGCATATTCACAGCACAGAGAAACATAAATCCCAGGCTGACTTCAGACCTCCCAAATCAAAATCTCTTAAAGTGGAGCTGGGACACTTGCCTCTTTCTAAACCTCAGCAGGGGAACTGATTCACAATTCTCACCAAAAGAACTTCCCACAATGATGGAATGTTCCGTATCTGCACCATCCAGTCAGTAGCCACTAGCCACGTGAGGGTATGGAAATGAATTTTTTAATTTAATTTTTAATCAATTGAAACAGCCACACGTGGCTGGTGGCTAGCATGTCAGCTACCCTTGACGACCCCTAATCACCTCAATTTAGCTTGAGAATACTTCTCATAGTATTGTTTTGTAGCAGCTGACATTTCCACTCCCTTTGATCCAGGGGGAAACACTGAGCTGCCCCTCCCTGCGGGCACTCTCATCTGCACTGAAGAAACCGATCTAGAATGAATTGCGGGGCAGGACCCAGTCTGGTGGATGAAGTCCTACCAGCTAGCTAAGCCACCATGCCAGCCTCCACCTCCAGACTGGACAAAAGGCCCTTCTGAGTACTCTCTTGTTGGAGGTTGACATTGATGGGGGAAGAAAATGCAGTGACGTGACTTTAGGTGCCAGTTATGGACCAAACTGTGACTCCCCAAAATTCCTCTATTGAAGCCCTAACCCCCTACATGACTTGGGGAGATATTTGGAGAGAGGGCCTGTAAAGAGGTAATTCAGGTTAAATGAGGTCGTAAAGGTGGGACCTTACTCCAATATGGCTGGTGTCCTTATGAGAAGAGCAATACCAAGGAGGTGCATGCACAGAGTCAAGGCCACGGGAGGACACACTGAGAAGGCAGCCGTCTGCAAGCCCGGGAGAGAGGCCTCAAGAGAGACCAAATCTGCTGACACCTGCACCTTGGACTTCCAGCCTCCAGCACCGTGAGAAAATAAATTTGTCGTTTAGGCCCCCAGTCTGTAGTATTCTGTGGTGGTGGCCCTAGCGGACTGACACAATACCCTTGGGAAAAGGCAGGCCCAGGACTCTATTCAGCCTCTCCCCAGCAAGATGCACCCCATGAATTGAAGACAACAGCCCCACTAGAAGCCAGATCCAGCAGTGACTCTACCACACCTACCTCTTCAAGGCATCATCTGGGTCACTATTCGAGAACCTGTACACTCTGCCCAACCCTAGTCCCACCATCTCATGGTTCTCACGCCCACGCTAGACTTCCACCCAACTCCCTCCCCCTACAACATCTTCCCTGCACACTAACCCCATCCCTTCCCATTCCTGACCCCATTGCACCTACATTGCCTCCTGTATGGCTTGCCCCTTCGTCCCCCATCTGTTGGGTGTTTTAAGTGTGTGTGTTTTGTGCATCTCATGTCTTCCCACTGGACTGCAAATTCTTAAAGATTGGTCTAGCTTTCGAGACCCTTCGCAAGCTGGCCCCAACTTAGCTTTCCAGCTTGTTCTCCCAACTGGGACAAGTCACCGCTTATCTACTTGCCATCCCTTGAACAAAACAATGCTCTTCTCTAAGCTCTTTAAAACTTGCCCAGTGTCTAAGGCCACTTAAAATGCCACCTCCTCTGGAGAGCCTTCCCTGACTACCTGAGCTAAGTATGTAAGGGAACAAGGGCTTCTATCTCTATGCAGTTATATCACAGTGCCTGACCCAGTGCTCTGCAACATGGGGCGATCACTACACAGCACCACTGCACTGACGGCAGAAAGAGGAAAGGAGTGTAAGGCGTTGGGGATGAGGCACGTGCAAAATGGTAAAGCAATTCTGATGCCAAACCCCAGGAGTAAGCATAGACCCCTCAGGTTTAAGGGCAGAGACCCCAATAAGACCGCCCTCATCGCAGATGCCAGCTGCAAGTTCAGGGGTCCCCAGGTTAGTTGCACTTTTGACTAACTGGCTACAAGTTCAGGGGTTCCCAAAACCCCATCAGGTTCAATAATTTATTAGAATGACTCACAGAACTCAGGAAAGCACTCTACTTACAATTATAGCTTTATTATAAAAGATACAAATCAGGACCAGACAAATGAAGAGACACATAATGCAAGATCTGAGAGGCCCCAGCTTCCATGTCCTTTCCCCATGGAAGCAGGACACATCATCCTCCTGACACATCCATGTGTTTACCAACCAGAAAGCTCACCCTCAGTGTCCAGAGTTTTTATTAGGGTTTCTTCACATAGGCATAATTGATTGCAATCATTGACCACGTGGTCGAATTCAATCTCCAGCCCCTCTCCCCTCCCTGGAGGTCAGGCTGGTATCACCTGGCTTGAAGCCCCAACCCTCTACTCTACTTGGGGGAGGGGGCACTTATATACTAAAAAACCTTATTAATTTTGAGAGCTGTAGATGACCTGTCCCAGAAGCTAGGGTCCAACCATATGTTCCTTATTAAGGTGGTCTCTGATCCCAACTGGATTCGCTTTCCCAGCCCATACTAAAGGGGATGCCAACCAGTCACTGAGCAGCCATTAGAAACAGTTTAGCTGGAATGCTAAAGCCATATATTTTCTAACTTCCTCCAACTTTCTTTGTAAACACTGTCGCTTTCTTTTACCCACCCAGATACATCAAACTTTTTGTATGAATGTGGCAATAAATAAGGGGTAATTTCTAAGGAAGGAAGGAAGGAAGAAAAGGAAAGGAAAGAAAGAACTTAGCTGGAGATACCAGCTCCCATCCACCCATCACCAGCTCCCCACAGTGCCCTGAGTAGCACACAAGACACTGGACAAGCCCCTCACAGAGACCCCTGCAGCTCTGCTAAGGTAATTATTGATCATACACACCATCCCGCAGCTACCCAAGAAACCCTCTGCGAACAGGGACGAGGTAAGGTTAAGAGAGGAAGATATAAACTACCACCTTCCACATGCAAGAGGAGAAAAAGGGCCTACACAAAAGGGTTTAGGAGCTTTTAATGCTTAGACTGAAAGCACAGACTGGATTTTCCAGAAAGCCACCGGTCCATCTCTGGCAGGGCAAGAATCTGCCTCCGCCTCAGGCCACAGGTGGAGGGCCAGACTCCCACGACCACCCCCAGCAAGATCCTGGGAGCAGAGGGTCTTCCTGTGCAGTGCAGTGTAGTGTAGTGAGCGCCTCCCCAACGCCGAGGCAAGGAAACTAGAAGAGGGGTGATGAGCACCCACGGGCCAGGCCCTACACAAGGCACTTCCAAGTATTAACTCAGCTAATCTGCACACCAGCCCCGTGAGGAAGGGATCCTGTTTTACAGATGAGGAGCCTGAAGCCTGAGGAGGTCAACCAACTCATCCAAAGTCGTAAGGTTCACAAGTCTCAAGGCTGGGATGGAAATTCAGGTCTCCTGGCCTTTCCCACGATGCTACACTGATTCTCTCTTTCCGACCCAGCCTCAGTCTCCCACCAGAAGTTCACTCTTAGCATCCTCATCCCATGCTTTGTCCTGGTCCCCACGAGGAAAGGGGTGAGCTGAAGACAGCTGTTCCATGAGGACAGGTGGGGATCCTGGCAGATCTTTCCTCTAAAACCACAAATGGGACCTCAGAAGTCACTGTCCAGGTCACTCTCAGCTGAAGAGAAGCTCCCAGGGTAACAGTGAGGTGGAGCAGCTCGCAGATTCTGGTTCTCTGTGGAGGTGGGGACCACAGACCGAAGAGCCAAGCTCAGAGGAAGGTGAAGTGTGCAGGAATCGGGAGGGCGAGCAGGAGTAGTGTCAGCACTGCCCCGGCAGGTCCCAGCATCCAGGGAGCCGAGGGGGACCCTGTCGCTCCAGTCCTGGAGGCGCATCGTCCTCTGCTTGCCCGGAACGACCTGGGGGACTTGAACGTGTCCTGCCGGCTGCAGGGGCACTCATCCCGTTAGCAGCGGCAGCAGCCCCAGCTCGGTCAGTCTCTCCCTGGCCACTGCCTCCCAGCCCTTGTTGGCCTGTGCACTGCGAGGGGAGGGGTGCAGGAGCCCCTCCACCTGGACCTCGGGCATCAGGCCGGCCAGAGCCCGCCGTGCCCGCTGCTCGGCCAGCCGCCCCACACCCACCACCAGCCGCACCCCCAGCAGCTGCACCTGCCGGCACAGGGCCGCGTCACAGACCCCGAGGAGCTGCTCTCTCTGCTTGGCAGGCAGCTCGGCCGGGGTGAGGTTGCGCCCGCTGGGAGCCAGAAGGAGCAGAGGACACAGGTTGTGGACGAAACAGTGACGGAAGAAGACCTCGGGCTGGCCACAGAGGTTCCGGAAAAAGCCCCAGAACCGGGCACCGCTCACCTCGGACTGAGGGCACTCCAGTCCCAGCACTGGTCGCTTGGGGTGCTCCTGGGGAGGGCTCAGCACAGGTCCACCAACGCCCAACCAGTCCCGGACTACATTCACTTCCCCAAAGGGCACCTGGGGGGAAGGAGAGGGACACGAAGGCTTCAAACTGGAGACCAGATGCTCCAACCCCTTTCCACCATCCATGAGGATCTAGCCTGGATGCCACCCCCGACTTAGCCCCCAACTCTAACCACCTTCACCCAAAGGCCAGAGGCAAGGATTCCTGGCCCTTGATTTGAGCCTGTCCATCCTCTCCAATTTTTTATGTGGACTGTGGTCCAGAAGAATCTGTTTGCTTCTACTCCCACTAGCCTTTGGGACCAGGCACAGGGAGTACATGGGGGAGATGTGGCCCTACACAGGGCATGATGGGTAGTACAGGGGACAGACAGATAGCCTGAGACAGAAAGGCAGCCAGGGTTAGAGGAGGCACAAGGACAGGGCTGACCACTGCTCTCTGGGTGCCTCTCAGCCCCAAGCCTCGGGCTGTCATTTCCATCGATCATCATTGATCACCTTTCAGCCCCCAGCTGGGGTCAATAAAAGCGATTGAGCCTCCTGCCCTGAGGCCTCTTCCCCTCCCCCACCTGCCAAGCACCCCCACGGAGGGGCAGTCACTCATCCGGAGGTCTGAAAGGGAAGCAGGCAGGTCCTGGAGCCTGGCTCCGTTCTGAAGCTCTCCTCAGCTCAGGAACAGAACCCAGGTTGCTGGAATGTCCTGCATCTTTTCCAAACCCATCCCTGTCATCCAGTCTCCCCTGAGGACCTGGCAGGCCTGGTCCCTCTCCTAACTCCAACACACTCTAGGGAGAGGGGAGATCCGGCAAGATAAGGTAAGGATGGGGCTGGCGGAAGGAAGGCCTCTTAGAGGCAATTAGTGGACAGCTCACAGGGGAAACGGAACTACCATTAAGGTGCTCGGTTAACTATGGGCGGCGAGGCCAGGAGAGTGTCTGAGACCACAGGAGCTGGGGGGGCCACACCCACGCATGTCCACAGCCACGCACATGCCCCTCCTCCACAGCACATGCAGCCACACATCCACTTCAGAGCCTCCCACTCCATCCCCCAGGGGAAGCCAACCTCTTTACCCCAGTCTGGGCCATGCCAAAGGGCCCTGGGTTCATGCCCACGAAGAGCACTTCCTTGGGGCCCTGGCAGTAGCGGGTCACATAGCTGCGATGTGGCTCCCATGCATACTCCACGGGATTGTAGATGATGCCCACAGGCTCGGAAAACTGCAGTTGCTTCAACTCATCATTAAGCCGAAGCTCCTCCTCCAGGAAGCCCTCGGCCAAGCTTCGGGGAGAGGGCTGGGGCTCCATCAGGGCACCTGCAGGCTCATGGAGGGGCCCTGACAGGAAAGCCTGGGGCACAGCCATGCCACTGTGACCTGGAAAAGAGATAGACAGAGGCCTCAAAAGCCCTCAGCCAGAGAGTGGGAGGGATCCGGGCTGGCCAGGGCCCCTATTACCATTTCCTGGGCTCAGGATCCCCCAACCTCCAGGAAGGCTGTGCTCATCTTGGTTCCTGGTAATGAAGGACCCTTTCCCCTCCCAGATTTGAGTATCCTTCCTCTTCATATATCACCTGCTGAGCATAACCCATAACCACGTATCATCCCCCACTCCAAACCTCCTTTTCATCAGGCATAGGTTTTGAGTCACTAGGTCTTAAGCCATGCCTAGGTTTTCAATAAATATTTACATGGCAAACTTTCAGCACCTTTAACATCATCCTTAATAAAACCAGCCCAACCAGGATGGGCTGTGTCCTGGAAACCAATGTGCTGAAGAACAGGATGCAGGTACACAGCCACAACCCAGAGACTAATTACAGAGAGCTGATTACAACAGCTTCCAGGTGGTGAGCAACTGCTCTGTGCCAGGTATATCTCACTGATGCTATAACAACCCCATGAGGTGGGAATTACTGCTCCCATGTTACAGGTGAGAAGACCGAGGCTTAGCAAGATCAAGCAACTTACCCAGGGTCATGCGGTTAGCAAGTAATGAAGCTTGGAGGTGAACGCAAACTATCTGACTCAAGGCTGTGCTCTTTACCATCCACACCCATCTTGCCTTATAAGGATGGTTCGAGCAGCCACCCTGCTAATTCTCCTATCCCCCAACTCCAGCCCAGCTTCTAGCCCACATTCCAGAACCCTCAGTGGTGAGGGAGATGATTAGTAGGCTCACACTAGACTTCTGCAAACTACACAACCGTGGCCAGAGCCTCAGGTCTCCTCACCCAAATACCGCTTAAAATATTGATTTACGAAATGGAAGGAGACATTACGTGTAAAGGGGAGCTGGGGGAGGAAAGACAAGGACAAGAAAGAAGAGGGAGGAAGCACAGGGAGCACCCCAGTGAACTTTGTAACCTGCAAAAGCCATTCCTTCCAATCTTCCTCCTCACCACTCCCATGCAAACCGTGTTCCAGCCCGACAGTTCCACTAACACTTTCAAGATGCCTTTCCTCCCCCAACTCCCAAAACTTTGCACGTGCCATTTCTACAAACCCAACCCCACACACTCCTTGAGCGAGCCAGGACTGTGACTCCCCCACCCCTCCACTCATCCAAATCATACCTCCCTTTCAAGATGCAGCTCAAGCTATCCCTTTGGTAAAGCCTTTCCTCTTCAGGACACTCTGCAGCATTTGCTGTAGCTTCCCGGCCCCACCCCTCAAGCCTACTGGCTTGAGACCTGGGAATCTGTATTTCAAACAAGCTTCCTCAGGTGATTCTGATGGTTAGCGATGGCTGAGAACCACTGTATGTCACCATGGTTAGTGGCGTCTTCATGAAGTCACACCTTACCTCCCGGACTAGACTTGAGCAGATCAGAGAGGAGGTCCTATTCAATTTCCCTCCATATCTCCAGGGCCCTAGCTTTTTTATCTTTTTCCCAAAGGGCTTAGTTTTTATTAGGCAGTCAACACCTGCTCAGCTGTCCATCCCATCTTTTTCAATCCTGTTTAAAACTACCTTCTAACAAGGAGCCTTTCCTGATGGACTTCTCTCCACGTCTACATCGAGTTCATTCAAGGGTCAGCTACCCGCTTTGCACTCTGCTTGCTTCCAAGGGCTTGCCAGGCTCTGGGTGTGTTTCCATCACGTCTGGGCCTCCCACAGGGCAGGGACCATGGTTCTTCTCCCTCTCAACCCCTTGCCCACGTCAAGAGTAACCTCTTCCCCCACATGGGACGTCAAGGTTGATACAACAGCTTGATCCATCAACTTGTTCTCTGACCCTAGCCAACGGAAAGTGAGAGAGAGACAGAAAAAAAAAAAAATCAGGGCCAAACTTAGGAAATCCTTCCCAAGACTGAACTCAGAAGTTTCTAACTGATCTGCCTAGGTGGCTATGCAGGGCCAACTGGATTCAAACAAAAGCTGAGAAGGGAGCTTCGGAGGACCCAAATGTCTCAGGGGCCCCATGCAGCACCAACATTAGTGGATTGTCCGCTCCAATTCTGGGCTCTCTCTCAGATCTTAAGCTGAGCCTACCTTTGATCTTTAGGGACCCATGCTGAAGACAGCAAGGCCAGGGGTACATGAAAGAGTGACAAGTTCTTATTTTCAGTGTTCTAGAATTTCAAAGCCTGATTTGATGACACAAGTCACAGGCTGTGTGTCAAGTGACTCAAATTCTAGTTCTGGTTTTGTCTCTAAGGTTCGCTTAAGCAAGTCATTTAACTCTCCTCTCTGTGAAATGAAAATCACAAATTCCATCCAACGTACCACCAGCTGTTAACTCATTTATTTTTCTTTTCAATATTTATGAGTCTCTTACGTGATAGGCACTGTGGTAGTCTCTTGGTGGGGAAAAAATCCAAATGTAGGCCAGACTCATAAACTACTGTGACAAGACAGATAAACAACTGTAATACACTATAATCCCAGCTTTAATGTCCTGAACAAAACACCATGAAAGCTGAAAGGAGAAACTTGGAAGCCTATCTTAAGTCACCAAGAACCAGAGACTACAGAAATGTAGATACTTTATAAATTACAGTGTCATATTAATATTAAGTGCAAAGGAAGTGGAGGATGATCCAGCGATAAGTCTGGCCATCTAAGCTCTCTGACACCAAACTCAGCAAGTGCAGAAGGAATCCAAGACACTATCCACTCCCCTGTGCCGTGGGGGCACTCCAGAAATCCAAAGGGACATTCAGCAAATCCTTAGACTAATAAAGATGACAATAATAACAATAGAACAGAGACTCAAAAACAACACTTCATCTCTCTTCCTGGTTTCAAAGGGGCCGACGACTAAGGCTCCACTAGAAATTTCGCGTCCGCCCGCGGGCTCCGCCCGACGGGAAAGTGTCGTCCACGCAGGCCCCCCGGGCGACTCTATAAGTTCGCCTTTCCCTGTGCCGGGCGAGCCCCAGACGGCCAGAGGGGCCCCGAAACACAGACATCCCGACTCCCGGCCCGCCGCTGCCCGGGAGCCCTGAGAGCCCCCGGCCTTCCCCTGGCGCCCCAGCTTCGCCTACTTCCTCACCTGGCCAAGCGCTCCATCCGCTTTCCGGTTCCTTTCCCCGCCCCGGGCGCGGTGGACTGTGGGAGTCGTAGTCTACTTTGTTTAGGAAAGGAGATTGGCTTAGCCGCAGCCACTTCCGCCGGAAATACTCAAATTCCCGGAAGGCGTGCTAAGTTAGCCCTAAGTGATGCTGGGGGTTGTAGTTTGTTCTTTACACAAGGGCTAAATCCGGAAAACTTGAGAAGTGAGAGGCCAGGCTCTGTAAGGGCCTTGGAGACCCTGGGTTCTAACCATAAAGGGCATCACCCTTCCAAAAGTTCAGCCACATCACTTTTCCCAAAGAGATTGTCAATCAAGGAGCTTCAGCCATCCTCAGTCTCTCAACTTATCTGCGGCTAAAGACCATTTCTAGCCTACCTGCTGCCCTGGGTATGAGACCCCTCCTTGCTACCCTCCAAGGACTGTATATAGGATATCCTCAGAAGCACTTCTGGAATCTCTAACAACTCTTTAGTAATGATCTTGAGACTCCTCCATCCCCCATTACCATCCAAGCCCCTGTCTCCATGGCTTTACCATTTCACTCTCTCCCTCCTCTGCCCTGCTGTCTGCCCAGTCCTATGACCTCCCATCCTTCCCAATCCCCCGTCTTGGATACTGTCCAGGACATCTTCCCTGACCAATCCCCTGGCTGCACCTAATAGTTTATTCCCTCCCACCCCCTAAACCCAATACTAATGTCCAAAGATGTCCCACTCCTAATTTTGTTCTTGTCCTGTGTCTAGGTCTGTTTCTGTGTCCTGACTATAAGATTTCCATTAGACTGGAAACCCACTAAGGCCAGTTATCTTCTAGATTCTTCCCGTCCCCACCCTCTGCATATCCCAGTACAGCTGTAACTGAGATCAAGCAGAAGCAAAGTCTCCCTGTAGGTGGCAAGGAAGGAGACCAATGAGCCCCAGAGCAGGGGGAGGTGAGAGAACAAGGATGCTATCCCCTTCCCTATCCTCCCCTGCTCCCCTCCCAACAGACAAAAACTTAAAGGGTGTGGCAGGAGCTTCAGAGAACTGTGAGCAGTGACCTTCTGAACCACAGGTGAGAAATCACCCCCACCCTTGCAAGACTTTGGAAACTGAATTAATCATTCACCTCAACAAAGTCCATTGTTTCCTGAGCTTTCATTTGTCCCACATTCTCTCCTTCTCCGTGTCTTTACCTCTGCCTATGTAAATGTATCTCTATACCTAGTCTCTTATATAGCTTTCTCTCTGTATCTGTGTCTCTGTCTCTCTCTGTGTACGTCTACCTCCCTATCTCTGCTTTTTCTCTGGAGCAAGTGAAAGAAGAATATCCTGACTGACTCTCCCCTCAGGCTCCTCTGTCTCTATAGATCTATGCATTTGTGTGTTTCTAAATAAAAATTAGGGGGAAAGGAGAACCACATTGGTGGTGTCATCTCATTGCTTAAGAATTCTAGGAGTCTTACCATCCCTTGGACAACACTTCTGCCAGCCCACCCCTCACCACTTGCTGTCAAGCACTTCCACGTTATCACCATGGCAGCCCCTCCACTTTCCAAGTTTCCTGACAGGAGAGCAATGAGTAAGATGAGTGACAGGCAAGCTGAGTCCCCAGGAACCCCACCCCAAGTCCATCTTCCTGGAAGGGTTGCTTAACTGTTCCTGTCCCTGTAACCCCATTAACTGCAGGATGCCCAGAGATATGGAGTCCTAACATGGGGAGAACCTGAGTCTTGGACAACCCACAGTGAGTCCCTGTAGCTGACCCCAGAGAGGGCTGGGGGCCTTCCCTGTCTCTAGTTCATACTCCTCACCACCTGGTGAGTCCCTCTTGGGGAAGATGGAGGTGAGGCCCTCTCCCGAAGTGGAGATGATTCGAAACAGAGATCCATAGACTAACAAGAGACAGAGCCTGAGAGGTGAAACTTGGGCTGAGGTGGGGCCTCGCGACCTGCCTTGTCTATGTCTTAGTCTCCAGAAAGTCTGCAGGAGGCTGGCTGACTGGGATTTATGGATAGAGCTTGTAGGGCAGGAGCAGACCCGGGCTGTGGCCTGGACAGAGCCTAGAGACTTGGGTCACTCTGTTGGGGCCAGCCAGGCCTGGGGCAGGGTCCTCTGCTGCCCACCAGCTGCTCCTGGGGCTGGAGCCCAGGCAGGAAGGGGTTAATCTGCCAGCTTGTTTTCCTTTGGTTTCCTCGGCCTGCCTGGGCTGTATTGGGCCACGAGCACCATCTATCGGCCTCTCGAGGTCCTAGCTCAGACTCCCAGCTCACTTGGGCTTCTAGGCTGATCTTTCAGGCTTTCCCCTGCCTCCAGACTCCTGGAGGAGGGAAAGGGAGCTGATGAGCTGCGCTGCAAGGCTCTAGAGCAGAAAATAGCTATCGGGGATTGGAGAAGGTGAGGGCCCTGTTTCCCCTCTCCCAAGTACCAGGCTCCTTCCTTAATGTTAGCTCCCTCCACCTCTGCCCTTGAGAACCCAAAAGGGCTTCAGGACTTTCAGTGTAGCCATGTCCCTCAGTACACTGGGCAGTCGCCCTGTCTCAGTACAGTAAACATTAAAAAAAAAAAAGCATTGGAGAGAGAGGTATTTAGGGTGAGTTATCTTGCCTTAGACTGCCTGGATTTGAATCCCAGCTCTGCCACTTACTAAAGGTGACCTGGAATACGTTACTTAACTTCTCTGTACCTCAGTTAGCTCAACTGTAAAATGGGATAATCATTGTAATCCACATCTTCCTTTTTGATAATTAGATGACTTTGTTTCCGAATTCAGGTTCGGCTGCTCACCACTCAAAAGTCAATAATTTGAGAGGCAAGAAAGGTGCTTTAATCAGAAAAGTCAGCAATATGGACTCATGTCCAGAGACCATCTTGGAAGATTCTGCTCAGCCATGACAGTTTTTAAAGGGAAAAATGGAGGGGAGGAATCTGAGTGACTCATCGAGGCACGGGGTTGGTTCTGCCTCAGTGTCCATCACGTGCAGACTGGCTGACTCTTCAGATGCTGTCTTGCCCTGTGATCTGCCTGCAGGATTGCTAAGGGGGCTGCTGTGGATAGAGGGCTAATTATTCTTTAACTGTGTAGTTCTTCATTCTTACTTCTTTTTATCTAGGCAAAGAATCAACAGGTTAGACAAGGCGTGGTGTGCATTCACGAGAGCATAAGTTAGTTTCAATTGCTTAGAGATCTCATTCTTGTAATTAAGTTCTTTTAAGGTTAGAGGGGGATAGAAATGGGCGAACAGGAAAAGGGCAGAAGAGCTGCTTTCAACTTAATTATGTAAGGTTCTTAGTATGGTGCGTAGCACAGATTTGATGCCCCATAAAGGTTAGTTGTTGTTGTTATGGCCACGTGCCAGGGTCTTAGGCAGACGCTAGTCTCAGGACCCCAGATCCAGGCCCACGGAGTCACACCTGACACACAAGCACAGAGGACAAAACTGGGCAACTCATCCATGGAGAGTTCCACAAAGATAATGGCCCATTCGGGCTAGGATTGGGGGCTGGAAGTTCAGGATTGTGAGGAAAGTGTTTTCAGTTCTCCAAGATCAGCAGGAGATAGAATGAGGAGGTCAGAGAAAGAAAAAGCTTGAGGTAAAGATGGGGGAAGGAAAGGCATTAAGGAAGAGGCGTTAACAGGCCCTTAAAAGGACCGTGATTTAGAGAAGTAGAGAGGAGTCCCTCATGCGTGGGGCAAGCAAGGACCACTGCATCCCAAGACATGTGCTCCTTGGTACAAGCACAAATGTCTCAGGGTTTGAGCAGGCTCCCCAAGCCTCCAAAGATACATCATATCCCAGCCCCATCCCAGAGTTGTGGGGGGACTTAACCCTCAATGTCTCTCCCCCAGGCTGGTGGGGAGGGGATTCACAAATGGAGAAAGCTATCTGGAGGTTCTGGAGGTCCTCGAGGTCCTCATCCCACCTCCCTCTTAGAACTGGAGAACCAGGGCGGGGGCTAGGCTGTGAGTTCATCCATTTGTTTGTTAACAGTTTCAAGCATCTCTATGTCCTTGTGTCATCAGTATCTCTGCCTTCATCTACCTTACTGGGAAATGGGTATATAGGATTCTTCTCCAAGGGGGGAGTGAGGGGCAGAATGACACCCTCTCAATTAAGACAGAAATGCAGAGCCAATGGGGTCCCTGGTCTAGCCTCACCACCCCACCACCCCAACGTCACCCTGAAGGCAGCACAGATCAGCTTTATGGATTGATGGCCCTTGGCTGGAGGCAGGTGACAGCTTCCAAAGTCTCTCCCTCTCCTGTACCCTGGACGCCTGGGTCCCCAGGAGAGGAGCAGCGACTGGCTGGTTGGGCTGATTTGCATCACTTACTTGGGAAGCAATTATCGGAGGAGCTGTCAGCTCAGCGCAGCGCTCTCCTCGCTAATCGCATTTCACCAGAGCCTGGGGCTTGGGGCGGGGGCTGAGTAATTTGGCTAGATGCAGTGGAGGAAAATGTCCGGGCCAGGAGGCCGGACAATCCGTCTGAGTGGCGTTAGAGTTGTCCAGAGCAATTATCCTGAGGGGACCACACAGACATCAGCCAGCCAGCCAGCCAAGGGGACTCGTCTGATCACCAGGTCATGCAGCAGGAGGATGGAAGTTACACTTTGGGCAGCGTGGGAGGTGCGTCTCCCACAGGTTGAGCCAAATTAAGCACCTGAGAAGGGGAGTCAAGATGAGACTGGAAGAGGGTCCAAGCAGCCAAGAACCCCAACTTCTAGCCTACCCACCACCCGGGATCCTACCCTGCCCTACACTCCCAGCGAATCAGCACCAGAGCAGGGACTTGACCAAGGACTCTTCCCAGCTCTGTTCCTCCCCCTGCAGTGCTCCCAGACCACACTTTCCGTGTCCCTGCCTCTGGCTCTGTCTTTGCCTTCTCATCCCTGCAGCCTTCTTGAACCTGTCCCCTGCTTCCCATCCACACTGCCCCACTCCATCTCTTGCTGAGTTTTGCAATGAACTGCTGACCCCCTCCC